CAACCAGCCCACCAACCAACCAACCAACCAAACATCTAAAAAGTAACTTACCAGGTACAAATACTTCGTATTGAGCATGAAATCCTTGACTACTGTTTGCCTTATCTGAACGAAACACGAACAACAAATCACTGGTCGAGGAAACCTTGAAGGGTTCATGATATCCTTGGTACACCTCACTTAAAACAAAGCTTTTGTTTTCAAGCCTTTGAAGTTCTAAGACATCAGTTCCATTTCTGCTATCATCGCTGAGGTGAAACTGTTTAAAATGAACAAGTACAGTGTGATTGACAGGGACCAGAATCCTCCAGGAGCATAGTTGTCCATCCGGGTACTTTCCAGGGTACCCAGGAGATTGGAACACACCTTTGGTGTTGTTTAAAGTTTGGTTACAGCCTGAAAAAGTATTATTGTCGTTTTTAAAGGAAATCGCATCTTGCCGAGAAGGAAACTTCAAAAAGGCGCGTCATTTCTACAGTGATTTTTAATTTCTTAATACGTTGCAGTATATACTTACTAGCATAGAGGCAGTAAAACATCTTCAGACCTCTGTTTGTATTCTTTCCAGCCTCGATGTAAGGAGTTTTTCCAGTTCGCCACGATGTTTGTGTTTGATAGTTTCGCGTTCCATAGCGAATCCATTCCTTCGTTGCTACCATCCACTTAACTTGCTGACACTCGAGCGAACCGTAGGGCAGTAGATAGAAAGGCTGAGATATTGGAAGATCAATGGGGACTGATTTTATACCATTAGTTTGACAGTAAAAAAAGAAATAAGAATAACCGTTATATGGTACTATTCCTTTTTTGTATTTCATCTTTTCGCTGTCCTGTTGATTGTAACTGTAAGTCATTTTGATTCGTCCCTCTTTCATGTTGGAAGCTTTTCTGTCTCCTTCCTTGTATATACAATACTGACCTAAAATAAGCGACATGAAATAACTCTATACCCTGGTTCCAGAGGATTGTCTTTTATTCCTTTGCTTACTATGTTATCCAGCCGTTAATCGGTTTGTCGTTAAAACAAAGCGATTAACGGAAAAATATAGTAAGCAAAAAAAACAAAAGACAAGCCTCTGGAACCAGGGTAATTACTCTAGTGAAAACGGCTTGATTTTCCTGCAATCTCCAGGAAAAAAAATACGACATGTATATACTTTTCGTTACATACGATTACTTTATACATGCATGTATTCAAAAATAGGTCGCCGGAATAAGTCACTATGGTTGAGTATTCGAAGAGGAAGTGAAACCAGTTTGACAAACCTTTTGGCCATTGAGGCGATGTTCTCCTTGTTTTAGTGCAGAAATACCTGACCACATATCCTTTTGAAACATAACCATCGATGTTTAATACAGGTGATTGTGTGTTTTGGACAACGGTGTCTTGTAATAGCCAGCCATTGTCAATCAAATCTAATGGACAGCCTGATAAAGGCTTTAGCAATGAGAACGTTCCTTTTGGCCAAAGAATCTCGTCTAAAAGTATTTGAAATCAAAATAACTTAAATAACTTAAAATTGCAAATATATTATCAACCGGTAAGTTTTGTGACTTTACCAGTAAATTGATAGACGTCATTAGCCCATCTTCCTCCGCCACCATTGTAACAGTTTTTCGAGGTACCATACCTATTGTACCCCTTCCCAGTGCCACCTCGACACTCATTGCCAACTTGGAGTCCAAATATTGGATAACCCCCTGCACTTGCTTTATCTGCGCATTGCTGTACTTCATATTTCGTTTTAATGTAATCCAACCATTTAGGCACTGCTCTAGTCCTATCATCCTTAAAACATCCAATGTGCTTGTATGGCTTTGCTAAAAAAATACCACAAATAATTAGTAAATAAGTTGATCGAATTATGCTTCTTGCATAGAATACATATTAGAATTTAATTCATTATATTACCMAATAAGATTGCCATCTTGGATTATGTGGAAATCATGTACCGATGTACGTCTAAAGGACCGAAAAGYACGAAATGATGTATTGAAAATTGTTCGAGAAATAGACCGTGCTCTCACAACAAATTTCTTGTTGAATACCATACATATTCCGTAATCTCTTACAAATAAGAGTCAATATAACAACAATAATTATAAGTACTTATAGAAAAATGACCGGAAATTGCAACAAAATAAAACAAAGAGCTTTCGTCTTTCATAAATTAGATATTTAAATGTTTTTAGATGTTTTAAAACATCATATACAATTTTACAATGTTTATCGAGAGTTTCGCTGTAGCTATGTCACTCTGTCACGCTACTTTTCAGTTTGACTTTCTCGTGATTCCTCAGTCATGTTTCGACAAGTTCGTCGACCTCATCCAAAACACTTCCGAGACGAAAATATAAGACTAATATCCAAAAGTAATAGCTAATCAAAACGTAATTATTGATATATGACTAAAGTTTTCCATGATTTACTGAAATCATACAATCACTTGGTATTGAGATGTCGGTAGAGATATGTCAGACAATCGAATCTAATAATCCAGTCGAAATAGGGAATGATAAGTCCTTGCTGCTTGTCCTTTTACTGCTTTTTTTCTTTATTTTCTAACATTTTTGTATCAAACGTAAAGGAATAAAGATGATTTTATCTCCATGTAGCATGTTTAGCTGCGGAAGTAAGGAAAACATGACAGATTCAGATGCATCAGGCCTCATTCTCTATCCCAGTATTCGGTTTCGAATCGTCCCTTACAAATTCTCGCGTGACATTAAGCAAACATCAGTGCCACTTTCTTGAAGTGTTTTAAACGCGGAAGCAACGCAAACGAAACGAATATTGAACATGCTTATCCCTACACTTTTTTATGGCTATTAATTTCATCTTTATCACACTTCGCTTTGAATAAGTTATGGCAATATCGACATAGTGTCAGATGTGATCAGGTTAACGCGAGAGGTTGGAGTTCTTTAAACATATCATGTCAGTAGAATTGCTTTAAACTTGATTTAAACTAAGATATAGGGAAAGGACTTACTTTGACTGTAGCACCTGCATGGGCAAAGTACAGCAAAGAAAAAGCTTGAGTACAGCAGCTTGTTCAACATCGTTCAGCTACTTGATATCTKACATGACATTATCAGTGTAATACTTGTACCCAGTAAATGTTTATAAGGCTTCTCATTACGTCATCGTGTCAGTGCTTTCGAGCTGTGCGCGTTCAGAAAGAGTAAGCAGATCAAGACTGATTCTGTACGCTGACGACAGACAATTACGTACTAAAACTGTTTTCGCAAAAAATAAAGCAATATRAAAGATGAGTAAGGTCATACTGTAACTTGTTGCAATGTTGATGAGGCCTGAGATTCCTATAGGAGAGGCGGATGGGGGTCATCATGTAATTAAGGTCGAAACAAACGGGAAACTGAAGTAAAACAAAGATAATTCAATTACTTTGCCAAGTAACCCAGTAAAGATCATAGTAAACGCTGCCATGGTGACTCAATGGGCCCATTCACTATGAAGTCCACATCAAACCATCATTGCTAAAGACTATGTCGCCAAAATGGGGCAGAATCACAAGGAGACAAAGACTGATAAAATAGCAATTGCGTGTCAAGAGAGAATAAAGACATGGCAAAAAAGAGACATTTATTCATGTGACACGAAACCTGTTAAAACTATGAATAAAAACTAAGAATATTAAGGTTTATAATATTAAAACAAAATTTCTATTTCTTTCAAATATTCCTTCTATTGTGAACATACTCAATGTGACGTCATAAGGAAATAAGGGCCATTACGAACATTCCATATATGCACTTTCATATAGAACGTTCCTGGTAGATGGCCCAGTATCGATCGTGTGGTACATCTCATTACTAGATAAAGGCCCTGAACTAGTGGGGCTCTCAAGAACATTGTACACAGGTCCATTTTCTTGAATGGTCGTATCATTGCTAGGATGAAATGATGTTTTGAGCTGCTCGTAATGTGCGGGTATCTTATGCTTCGGTTGCAAATGACGAAGTTTATCATAGTTCTTGTCAGGATCGTCGTGTCCGTCGGTTGTRTTGGATGTTGAAGCTTCTTCATATCGGGCCATCTTGATGCCATCCCCAGGTCTATTGAAAATGAATAACAGATTTTATCGTCGCGCAACCATCAATTGAGTCTCGAACAATCTTGAAAGTACTAGTTAGCTGCAACTTTGCGGCGATTTTCGATCGCGGCAACAATCGTAGAGCTGTTTACATGTACGATTTGAGTTGCGCGATAACAAAGTGCCCATTGTCGCACAACAAACGCGCTGCAAAAATCGCAAGTGTAAACGGGCCTTAATATGGTGACTGTTCTGCAATAGTAAGAAGACGATTCGAATTTCAAGGGATGGATTRAAAACCAGAAATTCGAGACTTTTCTCAAGTTTCAGTGTTCTGTAAGGGTGAAATATTAAGGCCAAATAAGGAAGCCAAAAAATATCTCAAACCTGYTATAAGTTGGGTTATTTGCGGTAGTTCTGTTGGTTTTTGTGTGATGATTTAATCTGGAATAATAAGAATAAGAATAATCATAATAAACATTGACTGAATCTTTTTACTTCTTCCCTCAACTTTCGTTTAAAACACACATACTTCCATCGACAGTAGATATCAATTCCAATGACCACGATCAGTATAAAACAGACCAGCGGTATCACTATTAGTATAACCGTCCCAGTCCCTTCACTGTTATCTTTTAATGCTCTTTGCTTAGTCTTGTTGCCTGACTCAAATCTTATTGTAATTGATCTTGTAGTTGTTGAAGGTTCATGGTGTGTAAGTGGAGGTGGGTTTGACGCTAGTTTCTCTGAGCTGGACGGCTTTTCTGTAAAAGTATTTTGTTYTTCAGTTTATGGTGACGAATGAATGATGGTGGTAATGATATAAGAGCAAATTAAACTAAATTTTATGAAACCTTCGAATAATAAAAAAACTAATTAACTGCAAACTGGCTGACAATATGGCAAACGTACCAGGAACAAATACTTCGTATTGAGMACGAAATCCTYGACTACTGTTTGCCTCATTCGAACGAAATACAAACAACAAATCACTGGTCGAGRAAACCTTGAAGGGTTCCCGATATCCTTGGTACACCTCACTTAAAACAAAGCTTTTGTTTGTAAGCMTGTGAAGCTCCAATACATCAGCATCGTTGAGGGAAAACTGTTGAAAATGAACAAGTACAGTGTGATTGACA